AATTCGAGCTGTCATGAAGTACTCCAAATTCTTGTGGTCCGTATAAACAGTCACTGGATGTGCAGCTCCTTCAAGGAAGTGACGCCACTCTTGGAAGGCATCCACTATAGCAAGCAGCTCTTTGTCGTGGATCTCGTAGTTGATCTCAACAGCAGAGAACTTTCGTGAATAGAACGCAACTGGGTGAAGCTTCTTGTCTATACCCATCTGTGAAAGCACAGCTTCCAAAGCAAAATCTGAAGCATCGGTCTCTAAATAGAAAGCCTTTGCAAAGTCAAGGTGTACCAAGATTGGAGTCGTAGTGAATGCCGTCTTGAAATCTTGAAATGCTTTTGCTGCTTGTGATCCCCATTCGAACTTATCTTTGCTTGTTAGACGCGTGAGTGGTGCAGCAACTTGAGAATAATTCTTGATGAAGATCCGATAGAAGTTAGCAAATCCAAGAAAACACTGAACATCTCTAACCGTCTTCGGAACTTCCCAAGATATAATTGCTTCTACCTTTTTTGGATCCATCTTCAAGCCCTCTGTAGTCACAATGAAGCCCAAAAATTCCATTTCATTCTGGTGAAATTGACACTTCTCCAACTTGGCGTAGAATCCTCGTTCGCGTAGTTTTTCAAGAACCAAACAAACGTGCTTCTCATGTTCTTCTTCATTCTTGGAAAATATCAAAATATCATCCAGATAGATGACAACAAAGTCATCGAGGTACTCCCGAAAGATGTCGTTCATCATATGCTGAAAGACCGCTGGAGCATTGGTAAGACCAAAAGGCATGACATTGTACTCAAAATGGCCATACCTTGTACGAAAGGCTGTCTTCCATTCATCTCCTTCTTTGATTCGCACAAGGTTGTAGGCTCCTCTTAAATCAATCTTTGTAAAAATTCTTGCACGTCCAAGTTGATCTAAGAGGCCGGAGAAAGGTAAGGAATAGCGATTTTTCTTGGTCACCTTGTTGAGTCCTCGGTAGTCCACGCACATCCGCAGTGAGCCATCCTTTTTCTTCACGAATAGGATTGGTGCTCCAGCTGGCGACTTTGAATGTCGAATAAAATTCTTGGCTAGATTCTCATGGATGTACTTCCACAATTCTGCCAACTCCGTCTGCGATAGGTTGTATATTGGACCAAAAGGTGGTTGCGCTCCTTCCTCTAAGTCTATGGCGCAATCATATGGTCGATGTTTCGGCAGTATATCGGCGTTCTTCTTCTGAAATACGTCTTCAAAATCCCTATATTGCTCTGGTATATTCGATGTTGAGATATTCTCGCCGCTAGTTGGAGCTGCATAAATGACAAATGGTGCGCCTTCCTTGGACGAACTTAGGAACGCTCTCGCTCCAATAAACATGGATTTCTTCATGTAGGTTCTACTAACAGGTTTATTATTATTTTTTTTGAGGAAATGTTATCCTTCGTAGCCTCCAATCAATGGACGGATTATGATCTTCTAACCAAGAAAAACCAAGGATAACAGGGCTTGATGGGGTTCTAATAATATTAAAAATAACGTGACTACTATGGTCCTTAAACACCACTTCTATAGGTTCTGATTCGTGGGTAACGTTGCCTGACAATAAGGGTCGTCCATCTATCACCTCTACGTGAACAGGTTTGGACTTCTGTACTAAACGGATCTTGTGGCGTTTAGCAAACTCTTCATCTAAAAAACAAGTAGATGCCCCCGAATCCAATAAAGCTAAAGTTTTTTGTTTTTGAGGGCCTAAAAACAAAGGAATTGTAAAACAACGGGCAGGTTGGACAGAGAAGGAGGAACCTGATTGTTGTCGTGATATTAGATTGTCCAGCCGCACGGTTCCTACTGTGGCTGGGCGTCGTCGTTTTCCGGAATCATCGCACTTCTAGTCTTGACAGGGTGCCAATTTTGCTTCTTTGGGCAATTTCCAACCTTGTGACCTTCTTCTCCACAGTACAAACATAACCCTTCCTCCATACGCCGTTTCTTCTCTGTTGGAGTAAGAGATCGGACACGCGCAGTGTCGATTTGCATGTCTGTTGCCTCCGAATGTGAGTTTAAGCTATTTGCAGACATAGTCACGTCGTAACGAGTCATTTGGTGTCTTGGACGTTGGTCTTGGCGACGCTGGAATAGGCGGTTGTCACACTTTACAGCTTGGCTAATAGCTTCGTTGAGCGTTTGAGGATCAGGAAGAGATAACAGCAAGTCCTTCACATCATCCTTCAAGCCCCAATAAAACTGACTCACCAACGCCTCTTCACCCCAATTAATGTCACTTGCCAATTGTCTGAAATCCGAGGCATAGACTGATGCAGAGCGTGTTCCTTGTCGTAGCGATCGGATCTTTCTTGTAGCCCATCGAACTTTATCATGCTCGCCAAATGCTTCTGCAAATGCCTCCAAGAACGTTTCAAAGTTGCTCAGGATTGGCGATCGCTTCTCAAACAAGGGAGTAAACCAAGACAGAGCTTGTGCTGTAAGCAAGGTTCCAACAAGCCCAACACGTGCTTCCTCCGTCGGATAACGTTCGGGCTGTAAAATTGTTATCAACCTGATTTGGTTGACAAAACCTCGAAACTTGGAACGAGTTCCATCAAACTTATCCGGAAGACTAACTCGAGGCTCCTTTCGTTGTAGGACTACTCGATCTTGTTGAAATGGAGGTAGAACTGCTTCTTCTGGCGCAGAAGTTTGAGGCTGATATGCTTTAGATGGCGCTATCCCAGATGCTCCATTGTTATGGAGTCCTACCATGACTCCTTCGATCTCTGTTGTCCTATGTGACAACGAGGCAAGAGCATTTATGATGGCGTCTAGTTTGGATTCCAAACTTTCAGCCATTTTAACGTCTTAACCTTCGACTAACCTTCAGAAAGAAGAAAAAAGAGTTTTGACAAGAGGACAATATTGGTTCAGAGGAGAGTACTCCGCAACCTCTAAAACGCCTTAAGACTCCAAGATGAGGGGTAATCCACTCTCTCCAAGAAGAATAAGGCTCCAATATTGAGAAAGAAGAGATATCAGTTTAGAGGAGGGTAATCCGCAACCTCTAAAACACTAGCACACCTTCAAGAAGAGGGATAATCCACTCTCTAACAAGAAGGAACTAGCTCTGATACCAGTGAAAATGTAGTCTCGACAAACTGTCACGGACACAAAATACAGACTTGAAATCTAACAAGAAATTCAAGAAGAAGTGGCAGAACTAGATTAAACAGATGAGTACAAGAACAACACCAGAAAGGTGAGCTAGAACTCCAAGAGATGTGTTGTCGAGACTGAAGAACCCTTCAGCCTCGACTCCTATATATACTACTGAATAGGAAGCTTCTCGAGCTACTTCCGCTAACTAGGACGCTTCTCCAACAACTTCTACTAATTAGGAAACTTCTCGAGCAACTTCTTAGAATCTATCAAAATATTCTAGAACCTTCTAAGAGAATCTTTAGGGAATATTCTAAGAATCTTCTAGAACCTTCTAAAGGAATCTTTAGAGAATCTTTAGAGAATATTCTAAAAGAATATTTGAAGAATCTTCTAATGTATGTCCATGACACATAGCAAGCATTAACTTCATCAATTATTCATGTATTTGTATCATTGTGTTCTTCATTTCAATAAACTCTACCACGATTAGAAAATAAAAAAGATGATGTCTAATATTTTTCAAGATAAATAGTAAAAAAGATGGAAGTATAAAAAAAATTCTTAAAATAATATTAATTTAGAGGTAGATAATCTATAACTTCTAATATATTTTTTCTAATAAAGAAAAAGGAATAATATATTATTAATGAAAAAGAGACAAAGCTCTAATATTATAAGTATAATCTTATTAATCTATCAAAGATAAAAACTTGATGAAAGCAAATAAACAAGTTAGACTTTTCAAAGACAAAAATATGAAAATATGTATTTTAAAAAGATACTAAAATGGCTATTGCCAAAAGACAAGAAAACTAGAGATCCTTGAAACAAGACTTGAATCAAGAAAAGAATTAACAAAAGTGAAGAAGGCTTCTTTCTTACATTTTTATATACTATCTAATTAAGAGTTATATGACAACATTTTGTAGAATCTCTAATATATGTCCAATTTGGAAGACATGTGTCTTAACTCTCAAAGTAAGTTTCTTATATGTACACCACATGGTTAGTTTATACCACAAGCTACCAACACATACAACTCGTGGCTAACTTATTGGCCAAGTGTTCAACCTATCAATCATCTTTAGATATATATAAAAGTAAAATTGCATCTATGAAGCTTCTATAAAACTTTTCTATCAAATTTATCTACTTCTACATATTCATATTATTTAAGTAACTATTAGTATAAATATGTATATCCATGAGACTAACTTATGGAACTATGGTGACATTAGTACTATCCTAAATTTATGTTTCAAAAGTTTAAATAATAGATTACATGTGCATAGAATTTTTCAATGTATATAAACCTTATTACAATATCAAAGTATCCTTCAATTTATTAAGATTTTCTTAACTTGAGATTCAAGATTAAAAACAAGTGATATTAAGTTCTTTCATTTCCAATAAACTTTACATTATTTTAGAATGCATACTTTTAAAAAAAAAACATTGATATGTTTTCTTCTAATGATCAGCTATGTTTTCCAACATTATCAAGACTCATTTAGAGATTGAATGTAATTACTATACTATATATTTTTCACAAATTTTAGATAAAGATAAAATTGAATTTGGAAAGTGGACATCGTGGTAAAGAGAGCCAGATTCCGATAAACATGTGGAATCTTCATCCAAAGGATGAAATATTCCACCAACTGAGACGAACGCGAAAGAAGAAGGAGGGAAACCATTCCGACCTGTGCACACAGCGCTTTGACCTCTCTCTTACTGGGGATCTGCGTCCAAAAGTCCGACGGACGCCGACGAAAGTTGGAAAATTCGTTGGAGTTACTATACTCATCTAATTCCGCGAATTAGTACATTACTTTTTCAGTAATGTGTTACGAATGCTGACTAGTATGTTACTCTTTGTCATCCTAGAAGGCTCTCGAGACTTGCAGAGAGAGCTGAATCGCTCATTCCAGCGCCATAGCCAGTATTATTCTCGAGCTTTCCAGAGCACTGTACCTGTACCACGCGTTACCAAAATTGTCTGTGACATGCAAATTGTTAGGACAGTCCCTTCGGCCTGCTGCGATTTCATGCAGACGTTCGAGTGGATTGTGGAGTGAGAAGCTGGTCGTTGAATGGGAGCTACGAGAGTGTCATGAGTTTGTTTGCAGAGCCGAAGCCAGGGTTTGAGTTTCAGAGTCGCCGGTTGACCGCTGGATAACACCATGAGCGCGTGGGCGTTGCATGCGAAGCGGAAGGAGCCGGAGGAGGCTGTTGTGGAGTTGTTGCGCAATGTGAGCTTGTCGCCGCCGAAGCGAATGCGAGTCGCGGTACTGTTGCTTACACCATTGTGCTTTTGTGTCTAGTTCGGTTGGTGTTGGAGGTGTGGTTGATTTTTCTTGTGGGTTGGCGCAATTTGTGGGCGTTCGATTGATTTTGGACCTTTTTTGTGGTTCATGTGGGATTGCTGCTGCGTCAATTTGGCTTGTTTATTTTTGCTTCAAAGAACGTGAGATCCCTTCGAATATTCTCGTGCCCCCTTTTTTTCAAATTTTAATGCTGGATCAACACTCTGGTCGTTCGTTCTGGATCAGCGTTCTCCTACTGTATGTTGTTCTTATTTACGTCTGTTGCACTCTAACTTTAGTTTCGTTCTTTCGATGTAGTTGTACGTTAGGTTTATAGTTGGTTTCGTCTCAAAGCGAATTCCCAACTGCTGGGCTTATTCCTTTTAGGAAAACAATTCACTCGTCTTCTCCCCGCATTTTTTTTCACCACTGATGCTCTGATCGTGTTAAGACGTGGTTATGCAAGTATTCCTCCTCTCTAAAATGGGACATTTCCTTTTGGGGATTTAGAAGGTCATCTGCTGATCGATGCTGGAGATGTTGCACGTCACACTGTACATCAGTACTCCTGTAATGAAGGAGGTGGCAGTTGCCTAGAATAGGGGGGAAGTGCATGGTTATTCCTCTTTAACTGGCCTTTCTGCTGAATCTCGCATGGTAGTATCGTTCTAGGATATTGTTTTCCTTCCCTGAGCAACCTCGCCTACAGTGGAAGATTGTTTACCAGTTGAGCGGCACTGTCAACTTTCGAAGTATTGAACAGTTGCAGCCAGCCTTATGGCCCATATTTTACAAGTGCACTTCAGTAATTGCATTTTTGCTGTCTTTTTAGAAAACAGTGCTCTACTTAAAACACGTCCCGAGAGTGGTAGGGTGGCACTGGAGATTAAACAATTTGAAACTCGTATTGCTTTCGCAGAAGTGAAATGCAACCCTCTAGGTGATCATGCTTCCCTACGTTGTTAGAGGGCAGAGTGCGGGTCAACAGCTTTCTTATTGTTTGTCTTTTTAGGGTTTTCTGACCAGCTTTCCAAAATTTCCCATGTTTGGAACCTGATGTCGAGGACTCCCTTTCGTCATGACTTAGTGAATATTTGTCTGAAGTATTTATGTGTTGATCTCTATTATCGTCCTAGTAGTCGTTATGTCTCATGCTGTTGGTGAACATATTCTATATACTGTCCCAGATTCTTTTTTTGGGCCTCGATAAAATCTCTTGCTACTAAATTCATTTCCATGCAATCTGTATAATTTTCTGGCCATTAATTCCTGCTGTGGAGTAAGACATTGTGATATTTTATTTCAATATTATGTATTATCTTATGATTTTGATGTGCACATTTCAGGATTCGTGGATTTCAACCAATTCATGGCCCATGCCAAGTTTTCAACCCCAATTAGAAGCACAACCAGCACCTCCACAAGTAGATCCATTGAATTTTTTTCAAGCTCTTGAGTCACCGCTACCATCACCGTCACCGCCACCTCCTGTAGCCACTGCCGTTCCTGCTAGCGCTACTGATGAGAAAGCTATCGTATTGTATAAGCCAGTCAACCCCCCACTTTTCCCAGGAGGTCCACCGACAGGATCGCCAGAGCCACCGTTCATAGTAGATGCTACTGGAGCTCTGGCCGCTTGCAAGGGTACTGACAACAATGGCTCTAGTGTCGATACTGGGCATGCTTCCTCTGCTTTTGCTAATTCTTCTTCCACATGGACTGACCTCTTTGAAGGTAGCCCATTATACTTTCTAGTTTGTAGGCGGGGGGATTTCAGAATCTTTGGAGCTCAGACTCTCCTCGGCCTGTATCTTTCGATAGGGCTGACGCTGGCTTGTCAGATCTTGGCTCATGTCTGGCTCATCAGGGGGTATTAGCTGTGGATGGAAAATATCTTGCTGATGATGTTTTCATGCAGTCAGTGGATTTCAAGGTTTATGTGAATACTTCTGGATTTTGGTCCCGTTGTCTACAGTTTGTCAGTTTTGTTCTGCATTAATACTTGCCTCTGGACCAAAAACTCAATTGGAAGAATTTGCGGAGTACAGAAGAATGGTTGCCTGCTTTTTCTTCTTTTTCTTTTTCTTTTTCTTTTTTTCTTCTTTCTTTCTTTCTTTCTTTCTTTCTTTTCTTCTTTCTATACTTGTTTATCACAGTCTCTAAACTGTTCTATTCTAATCGTGTCTCCCATTTTGCTATGTTTGCAGCCCTTGATCTTCATGGTAAGAAACCATCGCTGCCCATAAGGAGGCTCCAAAGGACTTCATCATGCTCATCCTTACCTCGGGTTTCGTACTCTATGAATGACACCTCAATGGAAGAGACCGATACTCAACTCAGTAGTAGCCAACTAGCTCTTATACCTTACTCTCCTCCCGCTTTCCTGGTTCCAGCTGCCAACTATACTCATCAATCCTTACCAAATTCCGAAGCAGTTTTATCTGGAGCAGACCCCAGTGAAGAAATGGCGGATGATGATGCGATGGATGTGATGGAAGATACGTTACATGGAGATGGAGTTGCAACTGAATCTGGGACCGAGTTTGGAAGTCCAATTCCAACTTTTGGGATGTCACTGTGGGAGCCCTGTGACGTGTTCCAACCTCCCTGCTCTCAAGTGATGTGGTCGCATTGAACCTTTTGAGGAACTTGCTTCTCCGCTATTCGAGCTATTTTGCATCTCATGGTTTCACGGTACTTCTAAATCCGGACCAGCTGAAGGCCCAAGGGTCCTTCTGAGCTCGTAGACTCATGAAGATTCATAATGAAGAATTTTCGTATCCATTATGTTCAGATAACCTCGTCTTTTAAGCTACGGTAGGCGGTAGATGTACAATGATGAAGTGACTGCCGCTCAGCACTGTATTATGTAACATTTTCAGTTTTACCTTTTCGGTCGTCCAAAAAAACTATCTGTGCTCATGCCAATTACTTGTTAGAGCTCTCGTCTGATTTCGTGCTACATCACCTTCTAGTGATGGACGCCCTTTTTGTATCCTTGCATCAGCTTGAGGTTCTCGGGGATTACGGATGTTGATGTGCGCTTTCAAGTGAGTTCGCCCGAGTAAGTTTAGGGGCTCTGCACTGTAGAACAGGGTTATGTTTTCTGAGCAACCTGATTCACTGACAAAAATCATCAGGTGCAACGCTAGTAGGCAATCTTGAGCGTTGGATAATTAGTCCTTACAAGGCTGCAGTTAATATTATTCAAGTAGATCTGGAGCTGCTCTACGTATTTTGTGCGGTTTAAACTATTTTTCGGGTCCTTTGGTTTTCATTACCAGAGATGATCGGACATTCTCAGGCTTGTTGTGGATGCTCCATTGCAGTCCCTGATGACCTTGCCATTGTCATCAATTGCACCATCTAGGACTATCGTGTTGTGATCTATTATTCAAGCACTATTCATACACATGAAATTCTCATTACACTCTCAAGTCTCCATCAATCGAAGTTGGCCATGTGATTCTTGGCATTCTGCCAGTTCTCGTAAGCATCCTAGACAATTTCCCGAAACCTTTTCACTCCAGGACCTTGATTAGTAAATCCAAAGCTCGTCACAGCCGCTACGGTAGAATTAATGGATATGGTCAACTTTCTATGTCTCGACTAATGTCATTCACTGAGGGAGACCGCCTAAGGAATCCGTTCTGTACACAACTCTGTACTGGAAATGCAAGTTTGTTTTTCAATGTTAATCAAATTTTGTTGGATGTTGATTGGTGGGCACGAACACTAATGTATGCTTTCCACAAACTGAAGTGCAAAGCTCAGTTATCTTAGAAAAGGATCAATTGTCACAATGAATTTGAGTGCTGTTATAGAACTTCAGAAATGATCATCAAACCCTGCAAAGTGATATTTAATTGTACTGTAGGAGTTCAGATAGGAGAAGTTTTAATTGTCTAAGATTGTCACTTCAAAGATGGGGGTTCAAGTGACTACAAGCGAGCCTCACCCTTTCTAGAGGCTGTGTTTGTGATCAAGGGAGGTCCAAGTGGATTGATTGTTTCAATATTCTACTAGAGGGTGTTCAAGTCGTGTGGTTTGCGTCATTGCAGAGAATCCCGGGCTATGGCGAGACTCGAAAGCAAGTTATATTTGGTGACTGGATTTCTACAAGTGAAGCCGATGATTGGGGTGAAGAACTTGCAAATTGGTGAGGAAAATGGGCCGAATGGTGCTTGCAGAGCCCAGCTCTTCGTGCTCCAATTCCACCTCAAACTAGAAGCCCCTTTGAAGCCCAAATCTGCTGTTTCGAATAATTTTATTGCTGCAATGTAAGGATTTTCCTCAGTGCTCATGCCATCTGAAGATAATTTAAGGTACCACCATTTGCAGATGGACCCATCTCATACTTTTTGGACTCTATGAGTGTTGATAGCTGGCCCTGTCCATAATATTTACTATAAGCTACACTAAATACTATAGCTACAGTATTTAGAGTCTAGTGGAGAAGAACTGTTTATCCTCTCCCCTTTCTCTTCTTGTATACGAGACACAACCAGATCAATAGATTTTTATGTGTGAAGCTCTCACTCCTTAGAAACCCTCTTGTGTGTATGACTTACTACTACTCTTGTGTGTGTATTACTTACTACTACTCGTGTCTTTCTAAACATTGAGCACTCCAAAATCAATCATTGTTGTTCTCTTGGTTCTCAAGACAAATTCTTTTAATGTTCAGGTTGATTAACATCATTACAAATTATGGCAAAAAAAAAAAAAAAAAAAAAAAAAAAAAAAACTTAGAAGTGACATATTTATTCACTATATATATATATATATATATATATATATATAATTCTTATTAGTTGAATTATCATTTTTTTGGTTTTTGAGAAGTGCTTTTTGGGCAAGAGTATTGACTAGAATTTAAATGGGATTTAGAAGAGAATTGATAAGGTATTATTTATTATAATTTTTATTTATTTATTTATTTATTTATTTATTAGCAAAAAGTCATGTCATAGTGTACAAAGATTGTTCCTTAGGATTCTAATCATTTTTTATTTTGAGTAATATTTCTTTTAAAGTCTTTTTAAATTCTAGTCAATTCTCATACTAAAAAAAACACTAGTAAATAAAAATATGATATTTTAGTTAATAAGAGTTAGAATTATAGAAGTAGATATGTCAATAACAAGAAGTGGATACATTATCTCCCTAATATTATTGTCTATAAAAAATTTGGCAATTATATATTATAAAATTCTAAGCTACATTCTTATTTGTCTAAAATGTATTAAGATTCTATCGAAGAATCTGATATTAAAAAAAAAAGAAAAAAGAAGTAATATGAGCTTGTAATTTTTAAAGATAAATAATTAAATTGTTTACATAAATTTCAAAGGTACGAACACTTTTAAAAATTATTAAGTACTTATTTTTTTGTGATTTGTTGTGTTGTTATAAGTTGTAAAGAATGAAGTTGTGTCATAAGTTAGAAAAATTTGAATACTAACTAAAAGAAGGTATACATATGGCATTTGAATACTATATGGTTTGGTAGTAATTTTCTAATATGCAATTAAATTTTAAAATGGAATAATAAAATTTTAGAATACATATTTACTAATATTTTAAAATAACATAATTTAGAATCTTAAAATATTGTAATCTTGGAAAATATTGGATAATAACTAATAAAACTAGAATGGCATTTGAGCAATTCTTATTTTGTATGTATGTGTTGGATTAATAATATAAAAGCTTTTTATGTAAACTATATCAAAAAAACAAAATTTTATAAATTTAGAATTTTATTAGAAAAAAAGATGTTTATTTGGTCTTATTAATTTTGAGCTATAATAGATTAAAAAAAAATCTTATAAAACACCTTTTAGAAAAAAAGTGATAAGTGATACTTTAAATTCATTATTTTTCTATTTTAGCAAGAAAAAAATATATTTGATAATAGAAAATTCAAATCAGTAAAATGCTAAGCCACATGGCTAATAAAAATCTTGTTTAATAAGGCCTTCATATTGATTAAATGGATTACTATTGGTAATGCTATTCAAAAGATATTTAAATGTTGGTTAGGTTGCATAAGCATTTCATAAAGCTTAATATTTTATTTCAATTTTTTTCATTGCATCAACCAAAATTATATGTGTAGATTGCTTATGAATTTAAGTAATTTGACCAAAGTCACAACCACTAAGACATATAATATGGTGTAACAAAACATGTGTTAGAATTATATCAATATTCTTTTTATTGTCTTGTTATGCTTAAATTTGAATTGTGTTCTTTACAACTCAAATATTAAAGATGGCACTATCACTACAACTTTGATACTTTTGTGATTAACAAGCTTTTCCAAATAAATATAAACATAGTTGCTAAGAACTTTAAAATGACTGATACATAAATAAAGGCAACAAAATAATAAATTTCTTGTACTACAATGCCTAGATTTGTTTAGAACCATTGCAATTTTTTTGAATAAAGAAGTCCACTCACATTATTTAGACAAAATATGTGCAAGGTCATCAATTAAAATTATTTATATTATTAAAAATGTGTAATCATTAGTCTTTAAAGCTTTATTATAGTTTTGAAATTATTTTAAATATACTAGTAAAGACAAAGAATGTAATCTATTAATCTAAATTTTAACCACAAGGAGACATTTTTAACAATAAGATAGAACTTAATAAATAATTTATTTGTATTTAAATAGAAACAAATTCAATTCATCAATAGCTAATGTATATCTAATACTTTTAGATATCTACCATCTATTTTTTTAATTAAATTTTTCTACCAAAGTTAGTACAAGGAAAAACTATTCAATTATCTAAAAAATATTATTTCTACTTAAAAGTAGCATATATAACAAAATTTAGCTAATGCAAGCTATACAAAAAAAAAAAAAAAAAAAAAAAAAAAAAAAAAAAAAAAAAAACTAAAATGTAAAGCTATAATTTTAAATTATATATCTTTTATTTGTTAATTGAACCTAAATACTTATACTTAAAATCTCTTAAAACAAGTGGACTATGTAAGAAGCTATCTAAATAGAAGATTTTTGACATTAAAATCAATGGTTAATATGAATTAAAGTGCATTTACAATTATGAAAAGTGAATAGTCAATGTTGTAAGCATCTTTTTGGTCTTGCACAAATAACTTAAATATACTACAGACTTGCTTCTTTAAAATTTCTTCTATGGTATTGTCAAAGAGTTAATATCCTCTAATCTTGTCAATATTATAGTTTTTAATCTATAAACAAATGGACTCTTGAGAATCTATATTAGCTAACATTGTTTTGTTATATATATATATATATATATATATATATATATCTATATATATATATACATACAATTGTTGCAAGAAAAGTAGTCTTTGCATTAACAAAGAGAACTACGTATTTAATATGCTTCTTCTTATGCATCTTTTTATGTGCTTGATATAGTTAGTGCAAGAAAAAACAACAAAGTACTTATTGTTGATAGTAACCTTTTGCTTGCAACTCTCAATACTTTTACATGAGAAGGCAATACAAAACTTTATCAAGTTGAGAAAATGAAAGATAAGATTGTATTGCAAGTGGTAGATTCAATTCTATATGCTATTTCACTGTTGTGTCTAAAAACCAACATACTCTTGATTTTCTTCTATATAAATGTTGCTTTGTAACAGTAATATTGTTCAAAATTGTACGGCTCGCAAAATAAGTATTGCACGCGAGCTTTGGATCTCAATGTTTTTTAGAATATTTTAAAATTAATTTTGGTATCTTTGAAATGTTGAGTGCAATTTCCAAATTTTTAGTCTTATTGATGACAAATAATTCCATCTTATTGCATTTGAAGCACTCTTAAAAGACAAACATAACTAGTGTTTGAAAATATATTCCAGACATTTCGAAAAAATTCCAATACTTATTTTAATTATGTGAATAACTTAGTAAATAAATGTTTCTTGTCAAATATCATTCATACTTAAATGTGGAACTTCAATACATGCTTTGTAAAAAAATAAGATGGTAATGAAGATTGGTGTGGTAACAATCCACATATTATCTGCAAATACAATATGCAAATTATTTTCATGTGATACCAATGCATTTACAAAACTTTATGCTGCCATAACTGCCTTGACGAACAACAATCGTATTGGTATGTAATACTTGACAAAATTAAACAATCTACATAAAGATATAATTAAGGGATTATTTACAGATGTGCAATTTGCACATGTGCTTGAATATAGACTACCAAATCATGGATGTGGCACAGTTAACAATTCTAATACGAATCTAGGTGGACACAGATCCACAACTTGAGAAATACTTCCACTGTGACGGGCCTCGGTGAGTGAAATCAGCCGTTTTATTGAATCTAGAACACAATTTGAGGGTGAAATAATTAACTAAAGTACAGCTCTTTAAAAGATTTTCTAGTGAGAGCGAGTGAAGCTGTTGCTGGTTCCCCTCATTCTTGAACGACTAACATTGTTTTACAAGTCACAACTCCGCTTACATTTCAAACGGGTTGCCGTAATGGTATCTTCAAGCCCTCAGTATCAGTTATTCTCAGTGTCCACGTTGCAGAAGATACTCACGTCATTGTCACATATAGCCACAGTACTACGAGCAAATATATATTAAGGCATCGTCGACTTGTTGCTCGAGTAACGCAAATAACCTTCTCACTTTCTTATAAAAATCCCTCATTAATCAAAACCCAGCTGTGTTCCTCCTAATTAAAACATCAGATTGTTCACATCCCTACTTTCTTATATTCTTCGTGTGCCATCTCAAAGAGATATAAAAGAGCAGCCGATATCCAACAGCGAAACAGACCATAGAAACAATACAAGCCCATACGTGAACCTTTCCTAGCGAAAAGACGACTGAGAGGACCCTACTTGAGTCCATATTGTTGTACCAGATTACATTTTTCTGAGCCATAAATTCGGTGTGCATGATTGCTTCATAGGGATACTTGAATATCGACAAGTAGTGAAACCAGATCCAGTACTTCGGAATAGCAGATCTGTAAACAAGAACAATGTAACATTTCAAGATCTTTCCATCAGAATTGCGCAAAAAATAAGTTTAATTGCAGTTATCACTTAATGCAATTCATAGTTTTACCGTTGCATCACTTACTCCACTACGAACAAATAATGTGGAAATCTTTCTCGGTGCAAGTCTCTCGAGGTTGATATAGTAAGTTGAGCAGGGAATTTACCTCAGAATATACAATCCGGAGAAGAGATAGAAGAAGGCACATATACTTGACACAGCAGGCTGTCCAGCAGACATGTCTGGAACCAGGCTTGCAATGAAGGCAACGAAGGCATCGGCGACACAAAATGTCAGGAAGAGCATTAGGACGTATAAGAGAATTGCGTTCACGTTCATCACCATGCCAACCAAGAAGTAGGAAGTGCTCGTGTAGATCACTGCCACCAGAAGTAGGAACGGTAGCATGACTATGGGCTTTGCCAAGACGTAAGATGATGTTCTGTAAGCCCCCCGCGATGTCTCACGTATGAATACCTGTCTCTCTTTCAAGAAAATGGGAAGGGAATCGATAGCGGTGAAGACAATGAAAGCCAGTGTGAAGCTGACGAACCCTTGGCGTTGTTGGACTCCCTTGCGATCCTTCTTGGCGTGTAGGAAGAGTGTGCCCAATATAGAGCCGCAAAGTACCTGTAAGACACGATAGTACATAAGGTTATTTCCAAAATGCTCCAAAAAATTTGAAAAAATAGTAGTTTAAATCTTGCTGTTCTCTTTTCTGATTTCGGAATGGAAGTCCATTAAGATGAAGAACTTTAGAAGGCAGTATTACAGTTCACACATACTGCCAAAATGACTCGGATATAGAAAATGGCTGGAGTGCGGAGAACGGTCAGCAACTCGCGGTGCATGAGAACCGCCGTCTCTGGTATGAACGAATTCGCAAATACAGGATTTGGGTCCTTATCGGTGAACCCTGCTGACATTGCTTGGTAGGTGAATTTCTCTCTGTTCTCCTCAACTGCGTATGCCTTCCTCTGCAAACAGAAAGTCAAATTTGAGCTACTGGTTTTGTGAAACTCTGTGCTTTCTTAGAGTGAAGGAGGATCTGATATAGGAATTGCCTCAATCTAATAATTAGGGCAATGATTTTAGCCAGGTCCGACTGATCAGTGATACGATGCGCAGAGTACATATGGTGCTCACTTGGTATTCCACAAGGCGCTGAAGCCCATTGGGATAGTCCTGCGCCTCCTCAATAAGATCTAGTGCGTATTCGACCACGTTCACCTGCGAAGTCAACATATATCTTCACCACTTCATCATCTGGTACTAACTCTTGCCAATCCATCTCCGTGAATATTCCTGAACTAGCACTAATCTGCTGCAGACATGTAGACAGCAATCAAAAGACCAAATGATGAAACAAGGTGTCAGAAATTATCACTCACATGTGCTGGCATGCCACGTTCAATGCAGTTGAAATAAGTGACCATCCCCGAGACCGGGCCGTGGTAAACGACATTGCCCTTCGCCAGCACCAAAAACTTGTTAATTGTGGTAAGAATACGGTAGCTAGGTTGGTGGATGGTCAAGAGAACAGTTCGTTGGCGCTGGACAGCCATTTGAGAGAGGATCGACATAACATGCAAAGCGGATGAGCTGTCCAGGCCGGAAGTGGGTTCATCCAGGAATAAAACAGCCGGATCATGAATCAAGTCCACTCCAATAGAGACGCGACGTCTCTCTCCACCCGACAATCCTCTCACCTGATGACACAATATACCATTAATCCAAAGATTATAATTGGTAACTATACATATCTACTCACAATTCTGTGAAAGTGTTCATTCGAAAATTATCATTAGCAGAGGAAATGAAGAGACTTCAATTACCTTCTGGTCTCCAACGTATGTGTCAGCACAAGCGGTGAGACCAAGCATCACAATTAAGGATTTTACTCGCTGCCGCTTCTCCTCAAATTTCATGCTCCCAGGAAGTCTAAGCCGCGCGCTGAACATGAGAGTCTCTCGAGTCGTTAGATGGGGATACAGGGCATCGTCCTGCAATACATTGCAAAATCCCTCAGTTTCACAATCAGCAGAGAAGCAAATTAGGAATGATTCTAAGTTAACTTTGATCGTGAAAGATTCATATTTTCTTTTTTAGCTTCAAGATGATCATTTGACACATACCTGCATAACATACCCAGACACGCGCTTGAATGCTGAATCCATGGGCCTCCCATTTACTAGAATCTGGCCTTTAAGACTATTACGATCAATACGCCCGGCCAGCGCATCCAGAAATGTTGTCTTTGAGGAACCAGAAGGTCCTGCAATAGCAAGCACTTCACTATGGTTGGCATTAGCCGTCACATTGTTGAGCAGGACTTTCTCTCTCGTTTCTCCACCTGTTACCTTCGAAATCACCTTCACACATTACCGTCCAACATCATAAGTCTATTACTGCTGCAAGTATTGAACATAGGACTTAGCTCGCAAAATACTTCTGAAAACAGCACACATGAACGAGGGTTTGGTACACAAGAGGTTTGAGAAGCTCACCTTGTAAGTCAGGTCCAGGACAGAGAGCTCGTAGACTGAGGCCCGCTCCGGCGTGGGTGGGAAGATGGAACATGCCTTGACAGAGCTCTGCACGTAGTCGTAGGAAGGAGAAGGCATCATGTTCATCCGAGAGAACCCACCAGCCTCCGGTTTTGTGACATTCGGTCTACCGGAGGGGCTCCGGTCGAAGCACAACGCTGCCATTTCGACCTGAGATAGAATATAGGTCAGCTCCAGCTACAAGCTCCGAGGAGTTTTGCGCCCAACTTTGATGTTGCTTGTGACGGCAACCTCAGCATTCATATTAATGTGACATGCGACCCACAAACTAGATTCTTTCTGGGCGTATCCATGTCCGTTCCATCCAACGCTGTTGATAGAAGAGAAAACGAAGGGAAGTGTCTTTCAAAGATCTTCGCAACTGCGGCAACCACAGATGGGTTTAGCGGAACACTCTAGCTGGCGAATTCATCCTGCAATCGGGCCTTGACTATGCTGTGAGCTGAGATAGCAGAGACAGGCAGTGAGAAGCAGCGTTGAAAGCAATATGAGTTTCACCTACTCGTCATTACTGGCGGTACACAGGCGAGGGCATTTAAATGCAGCATTATCATGAAGTTTAACACCAGAGGAGCCTGAAAATCGCTTGCAGCAGAACTTGCCGTGTGGACATCCTGATATTATTCTCATCTAAGAAATTGCGTATTCTTAAAGAAGTGACTGGACCAAAGGGAGTTTATGGGCCCACAGAATAAAGCTGCTGCAAGGGCCCGTTACAAGGTTGTAAAAAGGGTTAAGATTCAGCTCTCTGGCAACAAAAGTTTATTTAAATCAAGAGTTCCCCTCTGCAATCGATCTCTATCGCACGACATTATGACCGGACAACGATATCTGTGCCACATCTAATTAACACGATGACTGATTAAGCTATAAACCTAAACCTGATATTTTCACTCCGGACATCGTAAGCAACTAGAAACATAATGGAAGACGACAACAATGCACTGAAGAAATTCATTGCATCGCTCATGACTAAACCAGCTCTTCACCTTCCGATGCTTTTCGAAGACTCCATAGAGATAGGATTCACTTTAACCTCAATATTTCAAACATGAAGCGGCGGGATGCCAACCACGTAGCTTCTTGCTGAGTAAGGTAGACCACATCGTCGTTAGACATTCGCAAGTTCGATTCAAACACATGTTTTTACAGAACCAAAAAGATTCCCGCAGAATCAATCACGCTAACCGCAGAAAGAGGCAAATGGGTGCTTGCAAACCTCGATGGTAATGCGGAACGGTATGATGTACGTCGACAGGGAGAAGATGTCACAGTAATTACCCAGATGGACACCTAAAGCTTGCTTGATGGAATGGAGCGGGAGAAACACGTCGCATGCAGGTGATAGCAACTCCTGGTCTGCGGTGCGTCGTCCACAGAAATCGGTCAGGTACTGAGCAGCGTAGAAATTATGACAAAATTCGTCGCATGCAAGAATACAAAGAAATGGACAGCCTAACAAAATGCCACTAGGCGGGGGGGGGGGGGGGTGACATATCCTCCGGGTGGGTCATGGGCTTGTGTGAACTTAAACTGTACATCAATTCCCACTTCCTCATGGGAGTGCAATGACGTGACGTTGCATTTGGAATTGGAGACGTCAAGTGGTAGCTCAAATTTCAACAACAACTATCAAACCTGAATGAGGTGGAACTGGTACCGAGGGAGGACTGGAATTGTTGGGTTGGTAGGAACTGTTAACAAAGATTGAAACTTAGTGGGTGAGGATTAAAAGAGGCAAATGGTTATCCTTGAACACCAGAAAATGAGATCTACTCTCATGAGATATGTCTCGTCTGCTGACTTTGTAACAAGGCACAGTGAGTAGTACAAATTTTGTGCACTCATGAGTTCATTATTAAGTACGCATTACCCTTCTGCTTGTGTTAGTTGACAATTTATTCCTCGCAGTTTAACACCAGGCTGCACCAACAAGGCTCAACTCGAAACTCCAGGCCATGTTCTGGGGACTTGATGCTAAAAAAAATTGTTCGTGTTTGCCTCGTGAATGGAGACGGAGGTTTTCGAAAATTTTGAAATGTGGAGCTGGTGTAGAATATTTGATTGGCCAGGAGGACGAGACGGGGGGCACTTTGAGTTTTTCTCTCAAACTTCATGAAAACTGTGGGCTGCAAAACCCCATTTTCATTAAAAAAGAATAGGTTAAAACTCTTATGTTTCCAAAGATAAAAAGGCTCATAAATTAATAATTGAAAATAAAAGACAAAACAAAACTACAAAGAAATAATAATAAAAGAAAAAAATTAAAAAAGGAAAAAAAAGAAGGATCTCATTTCTTCCTCTACAGGCTGATCATTTAATTGTGTGCAAGTATGAGCTATTTATAAAATAGACAAATTGGAGGCATTTATTTTTATGCACTTAAGCCATTTATGGTTACGTTGAAATTTTTTTTATTTTTATTTTTCATGAAGATGCACGAGCAATTTAGGACACTCAAAATATTGCTTTAATACTAATTGAATAGATCTGCTACTGCCAACCAACTTAAATATCCAGCCACTATATATATATATATATATTTATATTTATCAGACTCATAGTAGGCGATGTGGTTGGTTTGGAACGACAACCATTATTACCAATATGCTGAAATCCTGGGCATACCGTGAAGCAATTTGACCTGCTGAAAAGACAAGTTACAAGCAACTGGGTTTCATGTGCTGTCAGTTTTTTCGGCTACAGCTGGTCATGCCTTACTAGCTAATTTAAATTTTGGAGCAAGGAGTGAGGATGAAACCTACTGAAAAGAATTTGGTCGCTAACCTTATATCGTACCTCTTAGGGTTAGAGTTTGTTAATCCATTCTCAGAAACTTCCTTCACGAGATTTCTTTCAGCACAAGTTAATGATTAAACTCAGCGAAGTGTGTGTGGTGCAACAAAGACAACTATTCTATGTAATATATTTAGTTTTGGGTTGGGTTAGATGATTACTGTCTTGAGAGTACTTCCAAACTAGCCAATAGAAAAAGGAGTACATACATACATACATACCATACACACACACACATGAATAAAGAACAGATAGGAAAAAAAAGAACATAAAAGAAAAGAATAAGAGGCTACCATACCATGTCATTTTAATATTCAACTTTCTTGCCAGATACCGACAAGCAGATTTTGGCTCTAGAGCAAGCCTGTAACTTTCAATCATTCAATGTCGTGGAACATCTTGTAACTTGGCATGGTTGTGATTCATTACCAAATGACATGAAACTCACCTTCGAATGAAATGTGATGGAAGTCATCTAGAAACAGTAAACTATGGGCAACATTTATGAAGGCTCACGATGAGGGACTCTCACGATGGATCCGGCCTCATGACGAGGAGGCAAGACTCTTTCATGGGAGCCCGAGCTCTGACATCGTGACCAAGAGCGGATGTCACGTCATTCTGTTCCAACTTCCAGAGAGAACAGTAACTAGTTTTAGAAGTAGCTGATCAGATCTCCTGCCAGAAGCGACGCAAATTTATGTCGCCACACATTACTTCATTGTACTCCAGGCCACTGACTCGCAAACCCGGAAGTACGATTTTTTGCTCCTGGGCTTTCTATACTGTATCCAAAACGCACAATCATCCACCACAATTACGCAGATACGTATTTCATGCAATGGATAGAGTAATCGGAAGCTGCTAATTTGTTATGTAAACTACAATGCGTGATTATGTCGTTCCGACGATGAGGACAGCCCGGAGTCGTGATTATATACACCGAGAGATTTGTTATGGCAGTGTGGACGTCGCTGTGAGTGATTGAGACTGCGAGCTGGTGATGGTGGTGGCGATTATGAATCTCACTCTCCTGCGTTGGATCTCTTCTCTTCGAAAGAGCTGATTTATGTAGTTGGTTCACTAGCCAGTGGTTGGATGTATCTGCCGGTCGAGATGGTCCTGGGGGGACGATTTCTATTATTTTTTTGAATTGTCAGCCTAGACTTTTGCATACCTTCTGGTTGCCCTTCACCAGTTCGGTGGGCGTCGGAATTGTATGCTGCTTGCGTTACTGAATAGACTGAATTGCGGCCGAAGGGTGCATAGATAGATTCTGATTTCTGCGGTCTCTTCTGTGAACCGACCACATAGCTTAGCGTTTTAAGAGGGGACGTTGTGTTGGACACCCTTCGAGGTTTTCATCTTGTGGGCATGAGATATCGAACACAACGTCGAAAGAACGTCGTAGTATGAGAAGTGCAGAATAAACTCGCGATGGGTGACAGTTACGAGATTTCGGATGCTTCCATCAGGCAGCGGCCCGTCTTACAGGGACTTCGAAGCTTTCCACCATTGGGATGTGCCGCATCGCCCTCTCCTGCTCACCAAGCCCGACTAAGCCTCATCAACTCCGTTGCCGTCTTCCCTCCCACGCCGGAGAGGGCTGCTCTCTACGACATATCCGTGCGGAACTTAACCTATAAGGTGTGCTCACTACTTCTTACCCACATCTGCTCAACTGGAGACACTTCCTGTCACTATTGCACACAGGTTCCTTTTAACCTTGCTACTGATTTCACCAGCATATGATTGTATACATCACCAAGAATTTGAAGGGGTATCCTCATCCTGACAGTTGTAAGTTTTCGCACGAGAACCAGTCTCGTCGTTTTGAGACACTGAAATCGGCCCCACTCGTATAAAAAAGAAAAAAAGGATGCAATCTCTGACGGCTGTGAGGGGTGTGTGAAGGTGATTGTGAAGCACAACAAAGAAATAAGGGAGAGAGTGTTGCTGAACAACGTTTCTGCTCGCGCCAACCACAGTGAGTTGCTGGCAATTGCGGGACCTTCTGGTTCATCCAAGACAACGTTTCTTGACGCTCTGGCTGGCCAGATAAAACGAAAAAGTTTGAAAGGCCAAATTTTGGTGAATGGCAAGCCCATGGATCCCACCTTCCGGCGTGTCTCCGGGTACGTCACGCAGGTATGGATCCATGCAAAGCTTACACTAAGGTCTTGAATTTACTCGGCTTAATCAAGAGCGTAACATTGTTGGATGTCAGGGAGATAAGAATGTCGTCTCTGTGTGGGAATGCGTCTGACTTTAAAAGCATGAATAGTCTGCCGAAGTTTTGTTTGAATTTGACGTTGATTGGTTTTTGTTATGATCACCTACATTTATCATAGTGGCAACCAATATGGTGCAGGATGATGCCATGTACGCAACCTTGACCACTCGAGAGACGCTTATGTTCAGTGCGCGCCTGCGACTCCCTGGCAATACGAAGCTTGAGGAGAAAAAGAAACGCGTGGAATCTCTAATTGAGATGCTTGGTCTCAACGAATGTGCTGATACTTACGTTGGCGATGAGAAGGTCCACGAACAGTTTCAAATTCTACTCTTCCATCTTGTAAAAAATCATTTTAAATATATGTAAACACACACACACACACGTGCATGTAATTTTGTATTATTTCAGAACCATGACTGTGTCTCAAATGCAACAGATGCGAGGTGTCTCTGGTGGAGAGAGACGTCGCGTCTCTATAGGAGTCGACCTAATTCACGATCCAGCAGTTTTGTTTCTGGATGAGCCCACATCGGGCCTGGACAGCACTTCCGCCCTACAGGTGATGCAAATCTTGTCCCAGATGGCTGTTAAACGCAACCGCACAGTGCTCCTAACGATCCACCAGCCAAGCTACAGGATCCTCGACACAATCAACAAATTCTTGGTGTTGTCTAGAGGTAACGTCATATACAATGGCGGCGTCATGGAGATGGAGACCTATTTCAGTGGTCTTGGTTACACCATGCCAGAAAACGTAAGTATACCTCTTCGTGCTCTCCATGGCTGTGGTGGGACCTTAAATACCACGTATCAAAAATGCGTAGATGAGCTCAAACTTGACACTCGAGTCTGTATAGATGAGCGTGGTGGAGTATGCTTTGGATATCATTGAAGAATGTCAAGACCAACCTGGAGGTCTTGCTCGCCTTGCTGATTGCCAGGTAACTAACTCTCTCGCATCCCTCAGTTTTGGTTTTATGGAAATTTATTACTGTTTATTACGTACATCTCAGGCTTTCATTTCCTAAAAATTTGCTTGTTATGCATTCAGGTGAAGTACCAGCAGACGAAGGAGGCTGTGGAGTTCGGGCCACTTGGTAGCCCATACAATGCCCCCCAAACCATGGATACCTTCAAGCCTGCCTTTGCAACTTCAATATTCTCTGAGATGTGGGTGTTGGGTTACAGATGCGTCCTCACTACTTTCCGCTCGAAGCTGCTGTTTTTGACAAGGATATGCCTGTCGGTAGGTCATCGTTTACTCGGTACTCATATTAACGTCTCAATCCACCCTCTCGCAAGCTTTGAACCAAAATTGAATCCTTCGCTGTGCGACGTTTCTCTGCAGATCATTGCAGCGTTGATCATGGGAAGTCTGTTCTTCCATTCTCAGTACAACTATAAGGGAATCCTGCAACGTGCAGGCTTCTTCAACTTCGCTCTCGTCACTCTCATCTTTAGTTCTAACGAAGCACTGCCCATTTTCCTTGCCGAACGCCAAATATACATCCGCGAATCTTCGCGAGGTGCATACAGAACGCTGACTTTCGTCATCGCACAAGCTGTTGTCATGATCCCCTTCCAGTTAATAATTGCCCTGGTCTTCTCATCCATCTCGTACTTCATGGTTGGTCTCGTTTCAAACGTTTGGGCGTTCTTCACGTTTGTCTTCGTCACCTTCCTCACCCTTTGCGTAGCCAATTCCTTCGTGGCTTTCGTTGCAAGCATGGTGCCGGACGAAAACGGTGGGCAAACTGTTATACTAGCAGTCTCCGCCATGTACTATTTGTTCTCGGGCTTCTTCGTTACAAGGTAAATCTCAATGACGTTTGGAAGTTCGTTACTTATTTAAAACGTAAATCGCAACGTGAAGATAACTTAGTTTACAGTATTTGGATTGACCGTAAGCATGGACGTCTTCTGTGCAGATCCGGCATTCCAAAGTACTGGATATGGCTTCACTACCTCTCTACATTCAAGTACCCTTACGAACTGCTGCTTGAAAACGAGTATGGCCACCTGCGGAAGGTGATGTGGTTCTTCGGCGTGGACTCACAGACGGTGTTGGACAATTTTGACGCTGGCAAAGTTGCTGACCATCGTTGGATCAACTATCTGGCCATGGCATCCTTTGTGATCGGATATCGTGTGCTCTTCTACCTCTCCTTACGGTTCAACACCAAAAACGTACGCAAGTAGTCAAGCTCAATCAGTCGAACTTGAACTCACCGTAGACAGATAGCAACAATAAGCAATCTATTCTCCGTTTCATTGTAAATTGTGAATAAGCGTCTAATCGAAAAATTGACCTGGACCCAAACATCCTACAGCAAGAAGAAACATGAAGTTCCAGTTCTTCAATTGTGCAAACGGATACTAATTCACCTCAACCTACACACACACGCACACCCGAACATTTAAAATGGGTCCGTTGGCAGATCATATAAGATATGCATATGCAGACGGCGCATCATGGCGCAGGACTGCCAAGCCTGGAATCCTATGAACCCCGATTCAAGTCGAGCCCGTATTGAAGATGGCTGCAGGTCACACGCATGAACCTCTAAGTCAGTTCCTGGTTGCTCATCGTAATTACAAAAAACTGGATCGTGCAATTAATCCTCACTGTAGGTGTGGGTCGTGAATACTGACTACAGTCCAGGTGCATTTACTCCGACTGACAGAATTCCAATTCTGGAAATGATCACGATGGCGCTCCCGAGGTGCTCCAGGTGGCGAAGAAGTAGGCCATACTGTTGATGTTATGCGGTTACAATGCCTGCATGTCGCTTTTCTCCTGCAACCTTCTAATGATGGATTTGTGTCTGAATTTGTTACAAAAACAGGATGAAAACATGAAACCAGGATGGACATCATTTGTTTTGTTGCTAACGAAAGCCAAAGGAGGGCAGGAAGCAAAAGGAGGGCACTTCCAATGTCTTACTTAAGAGTTGGATAAGAGTTGGATAAGTCTCACCTTTCAATATGGTATGGAATATTCAACATTTTTCCTTTGGAAGTGGAACTTAATTCTCTATTGAAACAAGACCTAATATATCCCTAAAAGCTGGAAACTTATCTTTAGGGAGAGGTTTTGTAAAGATGTTTGCCTCCATCTACTCCATCGAACAATATTCCAAACTAATTTGTCCTTTCTTGACACATTGCCTAATAAAATGATGTTTTATATCTCAATTCTTTGTATGACCATGGTATACTTGATTCTTAGCAATAGCAATGGCATTCTAGTTATGTTCATAAATGAAAATCCTTTACAGCTCACAAATGTCATAATCCTTAAGTACTTTATAAAACCACAAAGTTTCTCTTGCTGTAGCAACCAAAACTATATTTGCAACTTTCATCCCAAATTCCTCTAACTATCAATAAATGTACTTAGTTTGGCTCAAACTAATAGTATTATTTTTTATATCTTGTAAAAATATAATATAAAAAAAATCTCTAGATTCACCAAGATCTTTCATCTTTTAGCACTCTTACAATTCATCCTTGCATTTCACAAGGATCTCAAAGTTCTTGCCACTAATAAGTATGTCATCGACATAGATAATTAGTATAAGAACTAGTTCCTCAATACACATTGTCTACAAACAAGGATATAATTCTGAGCACTATCAACCAAGATACAATAAAGATTTATCCAAACTCTCGTTCCATCCATGTCTAAATTACTTCAAACTGTATAAAGTCTTTAGCAATTGCAACACCTTTCCTTTGTGTTCTAATAGAACTTCCAAATCTTTTCATATAAATATCGTCTTTTTTAAGTTTGTCATTTAAATAATTTGAAATAACATTAAGTTATAACATATTCTAATTAAAAGTAGTGGCAATTTCAACAAATATATAAATTATTACAAGGCAAGCAAATAATGTAAAAGTTTCTTGGTAATCAAGATCCTTTACTTGAATAAAATTCTTTGCAATCAATCATGCTTTAAAATGTTCAATAGAGCCATTTCTAGTAAGTTTTTTTTTTTTTTTTTTTTTTTTTTTTTAATAAAAAATCCATTTTAAATATATAACCTTTCTACCATTAGATAAAAATAAAAATTTCTATGTACCATAATCTTTTAAATAACCTTCATGACATAACTCTATTCTTTGCAAAAAGGTGAATTCATGGCTTGTTCAACAGTCTCTAGTTCTACATATTCATGAACATGAATTACATTTGTTGTTTCAATCAACAAGTTATAATTTTTGAATAAAGTTTTTATCTTTTTTCCAAGGCATAATATGCATCCTACTACCACTTATAATATTTTTCGAGTCAATGCCATCTATATAATGATATTTTAGTAATAGAGCTTGAGTAATTGCTTCCACTTCTGATTGATGGAAATTCACTACTTTTATTGGTATAGGATTTGCTTCTTCTTCAACCATTTCTCTATCCAATCTATCATGTACATATAATCTTAAGACTTGAGATTAAGATATTTGTGATTTATTTGAATGTTGAAAATTTAGTATATCAAGATTATTTCTATAATCCATATCGTCTCTAATTTTTTCTTGAGGAGTTAGTAGCTCACTAAGTAATTCATCCTTGTTATTGAAAAAATCACATCTTTAGTAAGGATCATTTTTTTTTTCTCATGTAGGAAAATTTTACATCCTATTACAACTTCTAAATATCCAACAAAAATATCCTTTCTTGCCTTTGCACTAAGTTTTTTACCTTTCTTTCAATTCTTTTTTATGCCTCTACTTCCTAAGTCTTATAAGCAACACATACTTGGTCTTTAGTTTAATGAAATACAAGGCTATAATAGCCAAAGTATTCATTAATCTACACAACTAATTATTTGGTGCCATCAAAGTTAGCCATATTGAAATAATCAAGTTCAAATACTATTACATCTAGAATACCATTGGCATGCTTGTGTGAAATAGGTTGCTTATAGGCCTTACTAAGAATGCATGATTCATATGTAGGTATTTTATTCTTTTCCTTCTTGATCTTTAATCCTTCAATATAATTCACCCATTGTCATATTACATATATTCTTGTTTGAGAATGTACCTAGTACTTAGGAATTGAAAGAAATACAAGATAATCTAATTAGATGTTAGGTGACCTCCTCCTCCAACTTAAATGTTAAACTTCTAATGTCAATATTTCCTTCTTAAATCATTGAATTGCTCTCAAATTTTACTTAAACATTGAAAATCAAGTCTAATATCCATATTAAAAAAAATTCACTTCAATCCAATCAATAAATTACTAAAGATCTTAGAAACACTCACTATCCTTTAAACTCCAATTTTTGAAACCTTAATCTACAAAAATCTTCATATATTTTAATCTAATTGTTTGATTGATTTTAAAATTTTTATACACATTTACAACTAATATACCAATACATTGTCCAAATTTTATTTATATACACATAAAAAAACTCAAGGAACCTTCAAATTTATAAATATATTTTTATTTTTTAAACCCTAATTCCATCAAGAACATCACTAATTTAAAAAATCTTTCAAAATCTCAATATTGTTTCAAATGACATGAAATCAATGCATAAAAATCTTTCTTCAAATTTTCTCTCAAATTCTACTCTTTAATCTCTAAAAAAATCTCTATAGTTATTATAGATGTATGGTTTTGTATCTGAGGATCTAGTTTTGACCTTGGTTGACAACTAGCCCTCTTTGGATATCAATTCTTGGCTTCTTGAAATAAATTATACTAAAATCTATTCTTAATTTATTCTTGTATATGCATGTATCATTTAATTTTTCAATCTACTTTATTTTGCTTCATTTATGGTCCTACAAAGTAAGTAAAAGCTTATTTTATAAAAGGTACTATTAACACTTTTTTGTTTTACTATCTTTTATATTATTATTTATATTTTTAAGATAATTTTTTATAATATTTAAAAATAAGATCTTTTATAATATATATATATATATATATATATATATATATATATATATATTTTTCTTTCATTTATTAGCCGTGTTATATTACAACATCTACCTATCTAAACCTATGCATTATTTGGCATGCGTCAAGTTTTCTTTATTACATTGATATAGAGTGTCAAATTCTTGGTCAAATTCTTGATCTTCAATTTGCTCTTCTACTCCCATCTTAATGTCTTATAATAATTTTTTTTCTTTATTAAAACAAATTTCTTCATCTCTTTATTTAAATAACTTGATTGACTTGCTTGTTCTAAATATCTTCAATTTTGTATCATCAAGTTCTTGTAACAAGTATGTTCTATTGTCATATACTTATTTGACAATATAAGGTCCAAACCATCTCTTTGCAAACTTCTTTGTTGTGCTATGTTGATTATCTAAGCTACTATCATAAACTAATATCTAATTACCATCTTCAATTGCCTTATGTCATAATCGATGATTTTTATCAAATCATTCTTTATTCTTTCTCCTTCAATTATATTTGATGCATTATTAAAAATTAAGGATATTGAAGGTGTTAATTAATGCATTACTAAAGGGAGAAGGTATATATTTGAATACACTATTGAAAATATTTTCAAAAGATTTATATGAAGGAAAATGAAAAGATATTAGAGAGTATTTAAGTACATTAAAGCAATGATAGGATTGGACAATTCAAAAATTTAAGAAAATTTATAAGAAAGTCTATGGATATTTTTTACATGATAGATATTTATAGAAACATCAAAAAAAAAATATTATGATAGATTATATATGGTTTAGAATGTCAACAAAAGATTATTAAAGAATTTCATAAAAATTTATGAATAGGGCATTAGAGTATTTGAGTAACATTTATTAAGTTGAAAGAAAAATATTGATAGAAGGGCATGCACAAAGACATAGAAATTTTTATAAGATCTTGTAAAACTTACCAAGTGTATTCAAATATTTGACATCAAGATGGATTACATTCAATATATCCTTTAGCTTTATATTATAAGTAGGTGGTGGATTTAATGCCAATGTCTATAGAACTTAATCAAATGAAGTATTTGATATTTATATGAGAAAATTTATCAAATATGATTGAAGGATTTGCATCAATTTTTAATATCACTAGCCTTCTACATTCATAATTCATTTTTTTCAAAGTTAGAGGTAAAAAAATAAGTTCTTTTAATTTTTTTATAGTTTTTTTTGTTTTCTATTCTATTGAAAATTTTGATTCTTTCATAACTCATACAATAGATTTATTACATATATAAAATGAGATATCTATATATGATAAAAAATACATGCTCCTAAAAATCTTTTAACTTTTGTTATGTTTGCACATTCTTTTATTTTTTTAATAATATCAATCTTTTTTAT